ACAGGCAGCAGAGTTGATTATATGTAAGCTTTCCATTTATGAACCGAAGACTGAAAACTACAGACATCAGCTGTTGACATCAGGCCATAGACCAGGACTGATTACTACAGACTGAGGTTACAGATTCTGTCAGTGATCACGTGATCCGACTGATCGGAGGCTGATCATGGTCTGTGGTCTTATCTATGGTCTTACAATTCATCAGTCAGAAAAACTATCAAATCACTTAGGAAATCACTAGTTATTATGTAACAAAACTGACAAAGAATGTCAGTCCTTTTCAAGGTGGAAATGGTTTTTGGAGAGTAAATTTTGAGTTGCAAGAGTTTTGTAGGTCTGGAATGTATATTTTGTGTTTGTTCGTGCATCAGTTCAGAAATAGTCCCGCATTTATAAAAGTGCAAGAGGCTTCGTTGTTAGGGGCGTGTTGCTTCAGGTACCATTAAAACAGCAAAATGTCATCCAGCAAGTTCAGTTTGAGTTACATATCTATGAGGCTAATCTGACACCAAAATACTGTGCAGTGGGTTTACAAATTATTTTTTTTTGGGCCATAGCCCTTTGCATTTGCACACCACTGCCTCAACAGTTGCCTCTTTCAAACTGAAGAGGGGGCTTCATCTTTTCAGGTAGTGCTGTTGTCTGTCTGAATATGGCCCAAGTCAGCATCAGATTTTGAGCAGCTCCTTCTTGCTCATATCTTCTTATTCAGAGGAACTAACAACAGACCCCCAGAGATGCAGCAAGTATGCAGCTGCTTTACAGCACCAGTGGCTACTGATCAGGATCTGAATCAGCTTTATTGGCCAGGTGTGTTGGACACACGAGGAATTTGACTCTGGTACAGCGGCTCTCAATGTGTACAGACATACATCACAAATGGTGGTTAGACTACAGTGGAAATAGGCAAGAGTTGTGTTACATGGTGACATATACAGTGAGACGACAGCAATTTATCATTTCAATTTTGATATGCTGTTTCTAGTGTCATAGAGCAGTCTCTGGTTTTATAAGGCCTTTCTGGTCAATGCTGTAAATCAGTGAGCTGCACTGCTGTGTGGCTATATGATGAAATGCCATTATTTGTAGGTATTTAATTCATTAGATCAGCCAAAAACTGACATTCACATCTGGCTATTTTGTATGGGAACATTTTAATTGAATATTCAGAAATTTTATTATAAATCAGAAGACGAATAAGACATAAAAACTGAGTGATAAAACACAATGTATCCAGAGTCTTCTATACCAGACATGTGGTGTTGCTGAATGGCGTTACGGCGATTATGTGAATCATATGGCATGAACTTCACAATCAGCAGATTGGAACCCAGTTATAATATCTATGGGAGATTTTGACCATCATCAAAACACCAAATGAGGGATATCTTTGCAAGAATGCTGTTCCTCTATCCAGAGACCCAGAAACTGGTAGAATCATTGCCAATTCCTTATTTAGACTAGAAGATTTTATCCATTTTGCCCGCCCCTTAAACAGGAATGGGAAAACAGGAAAATTGAGTCCCAAATGAGAACCATCAAGTGTAGTGTTGCTTCCATCTCAGTAAGCTTTTCTTTTGTGCTGAGGTGCCTGTTAATGATGCCATCTTCAGCGTAGCAGAGGAGCTACTCTGATAGGCTGAAAAAACAGTTCTCAGCCAACATCACTAGCTACAGGAAACCATTCCCTCTGATGAAGACCATCAACTGGCAGATGACCTGAATGTGTTCTACTGCAGTTTTGAGAAGCAGAACTCCACACCCCTCACCCACCTCACATCACACCCAGCAGCTGCTCCCCCTATGATCACCTCCTTTCCCTCCAGCCCCCCACCCGTAAAGATTTGTGGAAAGAATGTTCACGGCCTTTTTAAGAAACAACAGATCAGGAAGGCCCTTCTGTAAAGATTCTGAAGTTCACAGATGACCCAACAGTCATCTGTTTCATCAGAGACGGTGACAAAGTCGTCCACTGTCTCCCAGGACCTGAGGATGAACTTCCCACACCAGCTCAGGGCGTTCAGCCTGTCCCAGGAGCTGCTGATACAGTTCTACAGAGGAACCATTGAGTCTGTTCTCTGCTCATTCATCACTGTCTGGTTTGGCTCAGCAACCAAACAGGACTGGAACAGACTCCAGCCGACAGCCAGGACTGCAGGAAAAAAAATAACTGGTGCCAGCCTGCCCTCCATGGAGGACCTGTCACGGGTCAAAAGTGGGGCAGAGATTATTTCAGCACACCCCTCACACCCTGGACACAAACTGTTTGAACTCCTCCCCTGTGGGTGGTGCTACATGTCGCTGTACACCAAAACAAGCAGACACAAGGACAGTTTCTTCCCCCGGGCCGTCACTCTAATGAACACTTAACCTATGACAACAGAATGACAACCCTCAGTGCAATACCTCTAAAAAATACCTTTGTATATATCTGGAAAACTGCGGGTCAAAAGTGGGGCAGAGATTATTTCAGCACACCCCTCACACCCTGGACACAAACTGTTTGAACTCCTCCCCTGTGGGTGGTGCTACATGTCGCTGTACACCAAAACAAGCAGACACAAGGACAGTTTCTTCCCCCGGGCCGTCACTCTAATGAACACTTAACCTATGACAACAGAATGACAACCCTCAGTGCAATACCTCTAAAAAATACCTTTGTATATATCTGGAAAACTGCATCTAAACTGTGTATATGTTTCTATATTTATAAGTATTTTATTTTTATAATACACATTCCTTTTTCCTGTTTGCACGTTATTTTTCTTCTGTCTTGTTTACTTGATTACTCGTTGCTTTGCAGAAGAACATTTTACATACACATTAAGAGCCACTGCACCAGAGTCAAATTCCTTGTGTGTTCAACACACCTGGCCAATAAAGCCGATTCTGATTCAGTCTGAAACCTTTTGATTCCATCTGCTTCTGTGGCTGTTTCCATGCCATGTTTGTGCACACATGATTTAACTCTGTGTGTGTGTGTCAGGTTGGAGATTGCAGCGTTGATTATGTGTCTGATGTTGTCGACAGAGTGACATCCCTTTTAATGGAATAATGGTCTAGTGGCAGAGTGCTGGAGGATTGCACATTGTAGACTTCAATTATAGACAAGATGATTTTTTTTTTTTTTTTTTTTTTTGCTCTTTCAGTCAGGAAAAAAATGCAGGTTTTTCTTCCTTTTTAATAGAAGTGCTTACAGTGAACAAAAAAGGCTGAATTAAAAAGTCCTTTTCCAGCCAGACTTGGGTCTAAGTGTTTTTCCTTTAGATAATGGATAGAGAGGACATGGCGTCCCTTAATTCACCATCTCTTTAGCCAGGCTCATGCCACAAAACAGCCACTGCCCTGCTTGTGTGCACAAATCATCCCAAGCACTGCTGGTTTTCTGGCCTCAATGACACACTTTTCACTGTTGAAATGTCTCCTCTCTTCTTTAATATGCATTTTGGTTTGCTGCACGCATTATTCTGTGGACCATGTCATTTATTTTGCACAACAAAATAATCTTTTTACAATTGGTTTTTCAGCTGTGCCCATTCTGCGTTCTGGTATGAAATTGGCATACAGTTCGTAAAAATCTGCTTCTGTATCACGTTATACCTTTAAAAAAAGGTGAATTCATTTGTATTTTTTTTACATAGAATGATGATCAAAATTGTAACATGACTTAAGGGTCAAGGGCAGCCATCTCCTACCTAAGTGGAAAACTGTACTGCTTACAAGACTTGTTGGGTCTGGTCTTTTTGTTAGTGATACCAGTTTCTAATTTTCTGAGACTTTGTGCAGCACTTCTCATCTCATGAAGCTGTATAGTGTGAGCTGACCGTAGGGATTATGACAAAGTCATAGCTACGTCGCTTCTGACATTTTTAAAGAAGTACAGTGTTTGTAAATGATCTCAAGGACTGAAAATATTCACAAACTGTATCAGCAGCTTCTAAAGTTGACACTTTTTGGTACCAAAAGTGACAACTTTAGAAACTCTTTGAGTAGCAAAGAGTTTACTAGAGAAATTAATTCTTTGTCATAGGTGAATGCCGTTGTTTGCGACTTCTGTCTACTTTACATTTTCACAATATAATATTACAATATTGCATAAATCTATTCCTTATTTTCACTTCTTTAAACACCAGAATAATGCAAACATAACTTGAAATCCACTGTAGCTGCAAGGCAGGATTCTGTTAAACAAGCACAATGGTCAACAATGAATCAAAGTCTAGAATAAGCCACAGTGCTGCTATGGTACGCCAACAAAACTTTGCACTGTGTGCAAACCTCCTTTTTGTTCTCTGATCATTTGAAGTACTTCTATGCTTTCACAGAATTGGGTCTTTAGAAACCTTTACAATGAACCTGTGTTTCACACAAGTTGGACTCTGGTGACTCTGCTGCACTCGTCATAACTTTTTAAAACTGTTGCATTCACTGAAGCCAACAGATGACTGGAGCCAAAAATGGCGTAAGCAGGCAGCAGTTAGGTGGTGGTGATCTTCTTCTTCTTCTTCTTCTTCTTCTTCGTCTTCTTCTGTGTATTTGATTGATGGCTGACAAAGAACTACACTGTGATCTGGAAGTAAAAAAATTTTAATGAATGACTGAAGCATTTTATTTCAGAAAGAAAAACCAATGCATTGTTTAAAAGTTGATGTTGATGCATTTTCTCATAATCGATTATGTCTATTAATTGTGGTAGCCCTAATGTTAACATTTCAACACATAAAACCGTTGTTGTTGTTCACACTATCCAAAGACAGTCTGTTTTTGTGATAGAAGAGTGGCAGGCAACACACAAAAGCTCTGAACAATGATCACAATTGATAAATCAACAACATAAATTTGTTCCCATCACAACTTTCACAGCATAGTAATCCTGTGAAATTAAACCGAGAATAAAGTAATGTGAACAAATGTTCACATGAGACAGTCAGGCCACAGTCCAGACATGTTCACAACCTGTGGATCATATCATCCAGCTCTCCCTCTGTTTCTCTTTTCAGGGTGGACCCCATTCCTTATGACACTCCCAAGCCGGCAGGACACACCAGGTTCGTGTGTGTTTCGGACACACACTCGCGTACAGACGGCATCCAGATGCCCTATGGCGACGTGCTGCTGCACATGGGCGACTTCACCGAGCTGGGTCTGCCTTCCGAGGTTAAGAAGTTCAACGACTGGCTAGGTACTAAGCTGTTTAACATACTGTACACATTCATCCACATGCTGCTGGATACACATCATTTTGCCTCACACACCGCTGCCATGCATGCTCTGTGTTGTGCAGGGGAAATGGGCAGGGACAAGAGACATGTTGCCTGCTTAACCAGTAACTGGACCACACAGTAATCCCCCCCACACCTCCCCGTTGACCCCACAACTGCTGTGCTAAAGTGTCCAGTTTAACCCTTCTGATCTGACACCCTGGCTCACTTAACCTTTGACCTCTCTGTCAGGCTCTGTGCCATGCATGGGAGCTCTGGATTGTGTGTGTGTGTGTGTGTATGTGTGTGGGTGTGTGTGTGTGTGTGTGTGATTTTAGTCCAGGCGAGCGCTCATAGCAACTCTCCCTCTTTTGTAGCCATGTTTCACACATTAGAACAATTAGAAGCTTAGAAAGAGACACACCGTCTGACATTCACACTCAGCAAATACACAAATCAGTTTGTGCCACCCACCACTCTGGCCTGTGTTATTTTACACATTTGAATTTCTGTTTAATTGTCCGTGTTTGTCTGTTGATTAGCCCGCGGCGAGACAAAACAGTCTTAAATTTGATGTTGACAAAGCGTAGGGAGATTTGTAGATCTGAGATTAGTGGTGATGTTTACCGTCGAGGTTCACTTCCCAAATTATGCCATGCATTTTCAGCTGGGAGGGAAATATTAATTCCTAGTGAAATTGTCGACTGTGACAGTTTATTTAGACTTAAAATAGACAGTGAATAATTACAACAATAGAGTATCAGAAATGGAAAAAGAAAAGTTTGTCTTATTTTCATAGTTTTAAAGCAGGAACCAGTAGCTTTAAAAAGAGCAAGTAAAGCCCTCCAAAATCTGTTTTAGGGATCAAACACTTTCCCCCTGTAGAGTTAAAAGGTATCTGTCAATGTTTTGCCTCTCTGGAGATGACAGTGGCTGCGGTCAGTCTGGATTCACAGCATTTACATTGGATTCCACCATTGGCCCAGTTTTCACAGCAGTAAATATATATAACAAAATAAAAAACAGGTGTTTTTAGAAACTTCTTAAACCACTCCTGAAACATAATTCACTCTTTGAATACCTGTCAGTGTGTTCAATCATATTTTAAAACAGATTTTTCTAAAAAAGTAACTAGGTTCTATCCTCATGCTCAGTCTTGACATCTTCCATATGTCTGCTGTATGTAAACTGGAGGCTGCGCTTGCACTAATAGAGCATTGTGATGGCATTTCACACTGCTGTTTTACAAACCAGTCAGTCACTTAATGGGGACAATAATCAGCAGATTAATCTCTAATGAAAATAATCAATAGTTGCTCTTGGATACATGGTAGTTCAGCAGAGCTCCACTTCAACCAACAGTCAGTTAGTATCACTACTTTATTTTAACAATGTGAAATGTCAGAACAATAGTATAGAAAAAGGTTTATTTTAGCTTTTATTTCTCTCATCACATTCCCAGTGGGTCAGAAGTTTACATACACTTGGTCAGTATTTGGTAGCATTGCCTTTAAATTGTTCCACAGGCTTCTTCCAATAATTTGCTGGAATTTTAGCCCTTTCCTCCAGACAGAGCTGGTGGAACTGAGTCAGGTTTGGAGGCCTTCTTGCTCGCACAGACTTTTTCAGTTCAGCCGACAAATTTTCTATTGGACTGAGGTCAGGGCTTTGTGACGGCCGCTCCAATATCTTGACTTTGTTGTCCTTCAGCCATTTTGCCACAACTCTGGAAGTCTGCTTGGGGTCACTGTCCATTTGGAAGACCCATTTCTGACCAAGCTTCAGCTTCCTGGCTGATGTCTTGAGATGTTGCTTCAATATATCCACATAACCTTCCTTCCTCATGATGCCATCTATTTGGTGAAGCGCCCCAGTGCCAAGGTACATTCATCTCTAGGAGACAGAGCGCGTGTCCTTCCTGAGCAGCGTGACGGCTGTATTGTCCTGTGGTGTTTATGCTTGTGTAGTATTGTTTGAACAGACGACCATGGTACCTTCAGGCATTTGGAAATTGCTCCCAAGGATGAAACCAGACTTCTGAAGGTCCACAATTTTTGTTGTTGTTGTTGTTGTTGTTGTTGTTGTTTTTCTGATGTCTTGGCTGATGTATTTTAGTTTTCCCATGATGTCAAACAAAGAGGTACTGAGTTTGAAGGTAGGCTTTAAAATACATTTACAGCTACACCTCCTATTGACTCAAATTATGTTAATTAGCCAATCAGAAGCTTCTAAAGCCATGACACCATTTTCTGGAATTTTCCAAGCTGTTTAGAGGCACAGTCGACTGAGTGGATGTAAACTTCTGACTCACTGGAATTGTGATATTGTGAATTATAAATTAATTCTATCTGTAAATAACTGTTGGAAAAATGTGTTGTGTTGTGCATACACTAACCGACTTGCCAAAATGAGAGTTTAACATGACATCTGTGGAGTTGTTTAAAAAAAAAACTTTATTGACTTCAACCTAAGTTTATGTAAACTTCTGACTTCAACTGTAATACTGACTGTATAGCAGTATAACAGTATAGGATATCCAATATAGTATAACATTTGTCTGCATTGAGTAGCCTACTTCTACTTTTAATACTTTAAGTATTATCGTGAAAATGTAATTAATCTGATTTTTTTCAATGCAGAACTTGTACTGTAACAGAATAGGCTACTTCTTCATTGTGCTAGTAGTGCTTAAGTAAAGGGTGTAAATACTTCCTCTGCCTCTGGTGCTAACATGCAAACTAACATGCTTTAGTTATATAACATGTTATAGCATACTTGTATGCTATTTTCTATCATGGTTATAATTCTGTTTATTCTTTAGGGTCAATCTTGCACTGCAATCCAGCTCAATAAAATAAAATAAAAAAGACCCCTTTGTTTTCAGTCCTTTAACCTTTAAGATTGTTGTAGCTGATAATAATAGTAATTGTGTAATACCATGAAACCATGATATTTTCTGGGACAGTTACCATACTGTAAAAATCTCGTACCGTTCTACCCCTACTGTCAACCTTTAAAATCTCAGGTTTCAGTACGAGTTGTGGTTATGATTGTAGCTGGGCAGCCACACGGGGAGAAATGGGACACACCTGAATATCTACGTGGGTGTGTGTGTGTGTGCATGTGCGTGCCCTTGCTTTACTAAGTCAAAATGAAAATGGTGATATTGGGAATAATGGGGACTGGGTGCAGTGGAAAGTGACTTGGTCTAGTCAGGAGCACCCTGCCCGTTAATGTCCGTTAAAGACTGTTTGTGTGGGGTTGCACAAGTGGTCCTCGTACTTAAAGGACAGATGAGGGGTGGAAGGAACAAATTAAATTATAACTGAGTATCCCAGGTATTTGTTGAAAAAGAGGAAAAACTGATGTTTTTAAGTTATGCTTTTTAAAATAAAAAAAAATCTGCTAATATGATAATATAGTCGTAATTTATCTAGAAAAAATAATAATGACAACAGTTTTGCCCTTGTAATATTTTTATAGAAACCTATTAGCATAAAAGTGTAAGGGGGGAAAAAAACCATTCCACTGAGAAATAAAGTCATAATTTAAAACCTTTAAAGATCAAAATTACCTTTGTAAAAACTGATCTACCTTGTGTGATACCATCTGTCAATTTTTACACAAAGTTTATATATACGATAAAGCAATTATTTCAGGTGGTGAAGTTTACATGCTTTCAAGTCAGTGAAAACATTTTGATCATACTCTTTTAGTTGGTGTCTTTTGTGCTCTGTCTTTGGAGGGCGGGCGGCTTTCAGCAGTCTGCAGGCTGAGAAAATGTAGCTTATTTATGTAGGGCTTGAACACTGCTGTTGTGAGCTTCACATAGAAAATTGGCTCTAATCAAGAAAACACAAGTGCATGTGAAAGGTTCAGTATTCCCTCCAAGGCCGTTTTTTGTCCTCTTTGACGAAGGCTGAGAGTCTGAGAGAGGAAGAGGCAGGGGTCAAGAGATGGCAGCGTGATGAAAAGTCACAAGGAAAAATGGCAAATTGAAAGTATGCAAGTGCAATTGAATAATTATTTTATTTTTTACACTGGGATGCAACTGTGGCTTCTCGGGAAAAGTAAAAAGGTTATTTCAGCTGTAACTTAATTCTCCTCACTTCATTTTGAAAGTTGTGAAGCTACGACTTCCTCTTTTTTTGTGTGTTAACAATGACTGTTTGTAGTATTTTTTGTTTTTTTCTGTTGACAAGTCAACTGGATTTTCATGTATTTTCAAGTCCAGTGATTTACAGTCTTTTGGGCTTTAAATGTTAGGTACATGAGGATACAGAGGCATTTGTTATTCCACTCTGACTTAAATGAAACCGGGGTCTGCTCCTCTCACACTCTGGAGGAGGCAGCAATTTGTCCAAGCCATTGACAGCTGTTTGACCTCGTGGAGGATATCATTGGAGATCGATGCCGAGGAGCGAGCTTTCCCTGACTCAGCCTGTCTAATGGTAGAGCAAAAGACTCTGATCTCCTGTGTTAAGCACCGACTTTGATCTTCTTGCTGCTCCCAGAGGCGTCTGTAGCTTGTGTTTCCTGTTTGTTATAAAAGTAAATCATTCGAAATAAACACTGTGCAACTAATCACAAACCACAAATAACCTCTTCTCTTTACATGTAGTAGCAAAAATATACAAAGTATATTGATGTCGATTTGCCCTGTCTGAAGTTGTGATGACTGTCTGCTGTCTTGGCAAGGTCTTTCAAGGTTGGAAAAGACAAACACCAGTGGGATTTTGTCTGGTCAAATAAAGGTTACAGACAGATCGGTGCAGCTTCTGCAGTAATGCGGTTGATGTACCGGTCCGTCGTGGTGAAGAAGGAGCTGAGCTGTAAGGCGAAGCTCTCGATTTACTGGTCAATCTACGTTCCGACTCTCACCTATGGTCATGA